AAGGGAGGATTCATGCCTAAGTCTCTATGATACATTATAAACAATTAAATGACTGAACAATAATCCATTGATTAATAAAATTTTCATAATTAATATATAAGTTGTATTTTCCTATTTATGGTATCACTTAAATGAAAATAATCATATTGAAAAAATTTATTTGTACTAATATTTAAAGATCTATTATTTATGAGAAATAAATTATTACATTTCTCTGGGATTCATTAATGTTTTAACATAGAAATAAAGATATCAATATATCTGCCCATTATATATGCCTAAATTTATCTAAAATATGTATTATATATATTAAATAAATATTAGATTTTTTAGACTATTATGTCTTACAACTTAAATTGAGTTAATCAACATTGTTAATAATTAATCTAAAGGAACATATTTTAATTATAACGTGGAATGTATAATGATTTACCTTGGGTGGTCTTATACGTTTTTCTGAAGAAATATATTTTGTGATATGATTCATTTATGAGCTTCTTTATAATGTACAACATTTTTAGTATATATTTCATGCTCAACAATTATATTCATATATATATTAATTATAGTCTTCAATTAATCATTTTTAAAATATATTTTATGTATTAGTAAATGTCACTTTAATTGACTTGTTATTATAGCGATTTTTTTAAGACTAGTCTACTGAGTTATATAATATATTGTGTTTATTTTGAATTATATTTTTTTGTGACTCTTCAAATAAATTCATTAATTCGTAATGTTTTTTATTTTTCCTATTCCACATATATTTTAACTTTCTTTTCCCTGGTCGTAGGTATGAACCATAAGCAGTATACTGACAATTAAAAAAAAATATGATATTTCTATGAAGAATATATTAATTATATATTATATATCTAATATGAATTATATTTTAAATATTTACTGAGTAAAAATTTAATTAATTAAATTTTTATTTAACATTACACACGATGAATATAATTATTAATATTGCAAAAAATAAAACACCCGTGCTTGTCCACGTCACTGGAGAATCAATATCTCCTATCAATGCATAGGATTCGTTTACTGGTGGTATTATCAAGGAATGATTCATTAATTTATCGTCACATTTGAAAGGATTTTTTTGCTTGTATTTATGGAATTCACGCTTAAATATATCCAGTTCTTTCTGAACAAAATTGTTATATGCTTTTTTTTCTTTTCTAATAATTTCCTCATATATGTTTACACATTTATTAACGTATTCATCTATTCTAAGTCTATTATTATAATTTATTTTTAAATATTTAAAATTAAAATATAAATCATGAAACTTTGTAAAAATATCAATTACATCATCATCCATTTTTGATACATATCCTTTACATACATCACGTACATCTACTCCTACACCTTGATATTCTTTTACCAATGCATCGTGAACCGTATCAATACTATATTCCGTTTTAACTTTATTCTTTACTTCAAGATTTAGTTCATACATAAAAAAATTACAATAATGTATTCTCTCATTTTCTTTTATGGGTTTTATTCTGTGCAAATAATAAGCAAGTTTCGTGCAAGGCCCAAAAAAAGAATTATTCCCATCATGATTACGACCATATTTATCACGAATTCTATTGCAAACATTACCTATATTCTTGTTTATTTCTCTATATGTGGCTATAAAGTAAGCATAATTATGATAAAAATCCCGACATGTGGTAAATATATCCTTAATAGAAAACTAAAAATGAAATTTGTAGTGTACACAGATCTTTTATATAAGAAAAATATATCCATTACTTTTTCTTAAATAGGAAAATTTTAAATATCGAAATATGAATTACATATTTAATAATATGTAAAAATTTACTTCAGCTTTCCATCCTTGGCTCGTACCCATTATATTTGCTAACTAATACAAAAATAAAATTATATTAATTAATATAATTTAAAATGTTCTAAAAATAATACAGATAATATTATATATTACCTGTATTATTCTTATTAATTTATAAATATGATAAAAGTTTTAAATTTTCATTTTTATATATTATAATTTTATATTGTAATTCGATCTTATTATATAGAAGGTTTAGTGTTCATATTTAGCATACAGTGTTAAAATTTTAGAGTACCAGTTTTAGCATTTATGATTTGTGCTAATTATTTTAACATTACGGATCAAGAATTATTTATTTATATTCAGTGTCTTGAAATATCTATATAATGTTTCTATATGAGTACATATTGTAATTTATATTTATTTTTTTTGAATTCATATGTAGTGTAAATGAATTATATATATTTTTTTAAAAATATATATATTACTAATAGATATTTCACATTAGTATTATTCCTTTTTTGTATATATTATATGTAAATGTATTTTCCATAACGATTGTTGATTATAATATATAATATTTTTAATTTTTACTGATATGATTATATGAATGATATTTATACTCATTGTATTAGTTGTTTTTATATTTTATTAAATGATTTGTTCCAATTAATTCCTCGCACTTCATATTTATTATACCAATATATTTTAATTTTTATCTTTAAACATATTTTAATGTTTATTATTTTATTCGAAAAATATATTGTTTTTATTCTCTAAATAATATACGTTTGCATAATTAATACTCAAATGTTTACAGGGAAAAAATAATATGTGTTATTTAAATTTACATAATAACGCATATTTATTTATACAAAAATATATGCATGAATATTTGTTTGTTTGTATAATTTTATTATATGGTTTAATATATATTAATAGATATATATACAGAATTGTTGGAAACTAAAATATCACTATATATAGTTATATATATATTATTTATTATTTATATATATATAAATGCACTTTCTTCGTAAAGAAATCATTTATACACATTGTAAATACATACTGATTTATAGAATGAAATGTTCCTTGAATATAATTATATATTTCATTTTTTTATTTATAGTGATCTAAAAAATATATGTAAAATTTTATTAATACAATAATATGGATAATTTACGGGAGTTATGTAATTATTTTGAATTATAGTATGGTTAGATTTAAGCCTTAAATTAACGGTGAAACATAATTTATGCAGTACAAGGTTATAAACTTAATATGTAACATTTAAACCTTAGGCGAATTGAACATATGTTGTATGTTTTAAAATTTAAAATGGTGTTATAATATATTATATTACATATTTTTGATATAATAAATGTTTTGTTATATACATATTTTTTTCTTTATATCCATGTACATTGGCGATATTTTTAATATATTTATTATGCGTTATTAAAAAGCAAGCTTTTAATTTATTAATATATCTTCCAAAGTATTTAACAAATAATATTCTATTAAAATTGATAGGTTTTTTGAAAGATCAATTATAACGTATATTTTTTTAAAAAGGAAACGTGTATATATAAATTTAATACAATTTATTTTTAGTCGTTTTTATATACAAAAGCTTCGTCCCTGATATTTTATTTTTTATATATAATAATTTAAAAATTTTAAAATTTATAAATATCATATATTTAATTTTTAGTAACAATAAGATTTTGAGTGTTTTTAATGAGTTACTATGGTTTTATTGAATCTATGTGTATTCATAGACCTGAATTATTGAGAAAACTTGATATATAAAAGGGACTATATATAAATGTATTCATATATTGTTTGTACTTTTTTGGGGATATGAGAATATAAAAAATATATTCAACTTGTTTTCATATTATTATGAGAATCTACAGCACAATTCTTAAAATAAGCTTTCTTTTTATAGGTACATAATTTTGTATTGTAAAAAAGTAAAATATAATATTTTTAAAGGCTTAACTTGTTCTATGAAAAAATTTATTTCACACAATAAAAGTATTAGAAGATCAAGCACAATACATAATTATCATAATAATATATAAACACTTATAAATTATACTCATTTATGTTTTATTTTATATTTCTTAAATACTTTCATTATAATAATTATACCTATATTTCTTTGGAATTATGAACATATATTATTCATGCTCAACTAAATAACGAGTTCATATTTGATAAAATATAACCCACATTCAGATAAAATATGATTAAGAACCTTTAAATGATTATATTATATATAAATTACAGGTATATTTATTCTTTATTCAACGGTATACATTTTTATATTAATAAAAGTTGTGAATTATTAAATTATAATGAAAAAGGAAATGCGAATTAAATAAAAAAAAATTTTATAATTGTGTAATGTATTTTTAATCAACATTAATAGGGCTGATATAATTATTTATATCATTGAATATAAAAGCCCATATTTCCTTGATTTATTCGAATAGGAAAGCCAAGTATCTGAAGGTGAATCTTTAAATATTTGAGTTTACACAGCGCTCTTTATAATTTTTATGTTATTATATTTTTGTATTTTAAGATATTCTATTGGAGATCATATATAATTCATACAATAATATATATAACATCTACATATTTGTGAATAAAACAAATATAGAGTTTTATAATATATATCAAGTTTATATGCTCACAATGTTACACTTGTTTAATGTATTGATATATATGTGCTTACAAAGGCTTATATAAAAATCATTTATATATATGTCAATACTAGTGCATAAATATATACTGATATGATATAAACTTCAGGGATTAATTATTATGCTTTGCGTTTTGGAAATAGGTATGTTTTTATTTTTAAAATAATATTCTGTACATATATACATACTTATTCACTGTACTTTTTCGCAATTACTTTTTTTAAATTTATGTTCATGTTTGATTCTCACATACGTGAACGCAGAGTAACTATTATATTATGACATAATTATCTATTAAATATAACATATATAATATAGACATATTCATTACTATAATTACTACGTACTTATTAAATTATAATTTTTCGTATCGCTTTTATATGGAAAATCTATTTCATTTGTTCATATTTTAACTTATTAGACTTTATGTAAAATGGATTCTAATAATATTCTTATTTAATATGATTTTAAAAATATATTTCTATTTGTATATGTTTATGTATATATTCGCCTATTCAAAATCTCAATTTTTGTCTAAATAAACATCTACGTACTCTTCCTTACCATTATCTCTAAATGTATCAGTACCCACAGATGCTTCAACTACAGTACAATCACCTATATTTTCTTCATAATTCTGCATAAATGCTATTAAGCAGATATCAAAAAAAGTAGATAAACTAAAAATAACTGTTACTTCATATAAAATCCTTGTATTTTTTACCACCTTTTTCAGAATGTTTTTTATTTTATTTTTTAGTACTATTGCTACCATCGTTCAAGTCACTTTCATTCGAGTTTTTATGATCTTAAGAGAGTTTTTGAACTTGTTCACCATATAATTTCTCTTTTTTTTCGACTATATCACTTAGCATTTTAATTTTGCCATAGATGAACTATCAATAACATGTACATTTAATATATTATATATTTTTTTTTTTCTAATTTAATATTTTCATTTTCAGAATAATTTATTAAACT